AAATCACATTAAATTTGTCTTTTCAATATGAGATGGCCAGACCAGTACTGGTTGCTAAGTGTTAGGGCAAAATGTATGTGAATTTCATTTTGCATTTCAATTAATTGCCTTAAGGAGTAAGGTGTTACCATTTCCTAACAAGTTCAATTGGTTTTTGCTGTCACTACCACCCAACAGAAAAAAAAAAAGAAAAAAAGACAAAATAAGAAAAAGAAAAAGGTGATTGAATTGAACACTTCATATTCAAAGCATAGTTGGTAATGTTTCCTTGTTCACTTTAAGCACTTGCTGAATTTGCATGACACGAGGAATTAGCCCCCACCTTATTACAACAAAGCACATGCTCCTTGGGCTGCAAAAGTTCCCCCGTCTTTTCTTAACTCAAGCAAAATTAAGTTCAATGTGTGTGTGTGCATGTGTGCATAAACATAGATATCATGTGTTTTGAATTGTGATCATAGAGCATGTCAAGTAGTATTATCTTTTACTGTGGGAAGAATGGAAACCTCGAGCCAAACATTTATCTTGATTAACTTTAGATAACTATATGAACCCTGTTGTCTCCTACATTTCCATATAGTATGTTAAGATTGCATTATCATTTTAAATCACAATATCATATAAAATTGAAATCATTTTAACTTCCTACTTGGTGTTTCTGATACTGCTGGCTTGTTGGAATGCAATATTTGTATGATAGGAAGGAGGGAGAAAGAGGAAATGACAAACAATCAAAAGGATTCATGTCCGACTGATGCTTGTATAACATGTGGGGAGAACCTTTTTCAGATAACTATCTATATATACACATATATTTGAATTGTTCTAGTCCGTGTAATTCCATTCTCATCCATTTGTATAATGGACATCTTGTAAAGTATAATACCCAGTTGAATCCTTATATTCTGTAGTAACTAAATTTGCCTTTTGATTTTAGGTTCAGGGTTAGTGGGAACTAATCTCAAGGTTAGTAGCTTAAACTTGCGGTTCATATCATGGTACCTGGACTTGATATATTTGGTTAATCAAGTGGAGAAAAGAATGGTTTTTCAGCAGAATGCCACATGGTCTTTTTCATTTCTGGTGGAATGCAGGTAAGGTATCTTTTTCGACTTTATTTCTTTCAAGAAAGTTTCTTACATCATATTTTACTGCTTTGTGAAGGATACTACCTTCAAAATGTAAGAAAAATATTTCTGCAGTATCTCTAATGCCTAGATTTCATTATTTTTTTTTGTTGATAAATTAATACCCAGATTTCATTATCATTCCCAAGAGTTGCTACTAGATCACATGTCATCATTTTCATTGCACTGTTGCTATGCTGTATAAAGTTTTTCCACGCCATGAGATTGATCTGGGTGATGGAAAACGAATCTTCTAAAGTGGCTTTTTTTGGGCCTCTTTACCTAAAAGCCAAAAAAGCTGGCTTTTCCCCAGCGCCAAACAAACCTAAATGTCTTTTCCTCACATCATAACCTGAGTTTATAGTGACTTTCTGCATTTTTACCCCTGTTTTCTCATCTTACCCTAACTCTTTCTAAACCATTCTTATACATCCCTTGAATGGCAGAAGTCAACTACAGTTGTCTAGCAAGAAGACAGACAGTAGACTGGTTGGTTGTTACCTGTTTGTCAAAACCATGGGCAATGAAACTACTAATTGGCATTTCTGAGGGCTGAAAATTTCGGTTTTTTTTTTCCCTTCTAATTCTTGTCAGTCGTCAATTTTTTTTTGATTCACAAAGGTTGATGGATTTTCTAGTATCAATCCCCAATGGACTGTCAGATTATAGAGGTCTGTGGCCAGTCATTTCGTATGATAGCGAGCTAGAGTTACTAAAGCCTCGTTTAGGAACATGCTTTTTTTAGTAATTTTTTAATTTTTTAGCTAAAATATAATGTAAAAAAAATTAATATGTTTGAGATGATTTTTTAATTTTTTACGAAAAGATATGCAAAAGTAGAAAGAAAAGAGAATCTTTAACTTTTTGGTATAGATTGTTGACTTTTTAATTTTTTTAATGACTTTTTAACTTTTTGACTAAAAAACCCCTTGCCAAACGAGTCCTAATACTAAATAATTATTTGAGAACTCATGTTGGAACTTGGCTCACATATACACAATTCCTGTAGATGTCCACTTGCTTTCTAAATTATAGTAATATACTGGTCCTTAATATTTTAATTTTTCATGCGTTGGGAGTCCCTGACCATGTTTAGTGAAAGGGTTTCTATGACCATTCTATTTCCAATTAATTTTTGTCTGTTTTTGTAGGTGGAAGTCAGTTCAGAACAAGCAAAAACTAAGAAAAGAATAACATCAGATTGCACAACTAAACATTTTTAATGGGTAGGTGAAGCTTTTTTTTTAAACTGATTTTGAGGTGGTTGCATTTCGTCTGTTGTCTGAAGTGCTTTCATCTTTGCAGGGAATGGCAATATGATATGGGATTATCCATCCAACCGCCAGTCTTTCCGTCTCATTTGGAGCTTTATGCACTAAGAACATTAAATAAAATACGTTCATATCTGTAATTTATTTTTAATTAATTACAAGATAAGACTACGTATATCTAATAGCGCCCTTAATTATGTCTTTCAAATCAGAAAATGATTATCCAACCATACAGGGGCCTCTGACCATCTATCTACAAGGTATCAATCTTTGATATTTTGAATATCTAATATTTTTCATACATTTTTTTATTGTTGATATTCTTTTTTCTTTGTTATTTGTCATAGAATAATGGAGGTTTAACATGTGGGATGATTTAAATATAATGGATTCTTGGGTTGATGCTTTGCATAAGTTCTATAAATAAGAAGGGATGTTGTTCGTATTTTAGAGAGATAACTAGAGTAGAGCCCAATAAATAGTAGAGTGTAACTTGACTGGTCTAACCCGTACAACCCAAGTATAGGTCAAAAATTGAGTTTGTCTTCTCTCAATAATCAGAAAACAAACGGAACATGAATGTGGAGTTATGAATTGTAGGAATGGGAAGCTGGTTTCCGAGTAGCTTGATCTACCATTGTGTTGGAATAGGCTGGTGTTTTCACTTGTGCTAATGCAAATATTGTTTTTGCCATAATATAAGGTGCATTGATGACATTTTCCTTTGTCACGACGTAATCCTCGTCATTATGTGATGCAATCAAAGTCACAAGAATCATTACTTTAAATCGTAACTTCAAAAAATAACTTAATGATTTGTTGATGTTAGACAATATAGTTGAATCATAACTTAGAATACATTACATTGTGCACATGATGCGCAATCACTTTTGGTTGTGCAGTACAAATTTTGTCACATTGTTGTCCAGTTGGGTAAATTATATTAATTGCTTTTAAAATTTTGAAGTTTTAAAATGTGTAAATAATATATAAATTTTGATTGGTCTAAGATAGTGGATCTCACATTTAAAAGTAAATGGATCTCATCTAAAATTATAGTCCTTTTTATGTTTTATTACAATAATATTAGGTGGTACAAAATTTTATGATTCAAATGACTTAAATATTTTAAAATAACGTCGTTTTTTATATATTTGAATCAATCAAACCACAAAAATTTGGAAAAAGCTGAAATGCTGAGCTATAGGTAAGGTACTGACATTTTCTGAAAGGGTTGTTGGATGGCCTATTGTTCAGTTCTATCTATCTAGAGTACATATATATATATATATATTATTACATTTTTTATTATATTTATTTTGACTATATATCTAGCCATATATCTAGATTAAGGGATTGTTTGAAATGATCTAAATACGTATATTTTTTATTTTTTTATAAAAAGATATATAAAAAAATAAAGAAATAATGTGATAAAAAATATAAAAAAATAAATTATTTTTGAATCGTCAAACTTGAACTAAATTCCAGACCAGCAAAGGAGACCGGTGGTCTGGTAGTGGACTGATGGGATTTCCATATGACCCCACTCTCATGCGTCAAAATCTTAAAATGCACAAAAACAGATAAAGCCTTCGTTTGGCCTAAGTTAATCGGTAATGATTTATAGTATTAATTTTAGTGTTTTAATAGAATATTAATGACATGATAAGCAGAAAGAAAAAAAATCAAGACTAAAACATCAGATTAGTAGGTGAGGCCTACTGTTAGCTCATTAAGAGGTGTTTTGAAAAGTTGATAAAAAATTAATTTTTTTGACTTTTTAACTTTTTTGATATTTTTTTAACAAAAAAGTTGACTTTTCTGAATTTGATAAAAAGCCGAAAAGTTGACTTTTTGCTAAGTTCTCAAATTTCCCCTAAAGTTGGCTTTACAGTTAAAGAATTAGAGTTCTAAAGCATTTTTTGAAGTTAAAATAGGATTTTTTGGCTAAAATTATCACGACAAAATATTACATTTAAATCATAATCATTTCATTTTTTTTTCTCACAAAAATAAAAAAAATTAACAAATTTATCCCAAATAAGACTTTATAGTCCTAATATAAAAAGTTAAAAAATCAATTCATATCCTAAAGGAATCCAAAGATATATTAGAACAGTACAGCACTGGTGGATGTATAAAGCTCCAAAGGTTCATTGACTCACATCTACACTAATGTTATTTTTATTGTGAATAAAATACCTAATGTTAAGGATTAGACTAAAATGCCTAAGACTTTTGTTAAATGATTTGTTATATATACTTAAAAATTAATATATATAATTTAAAGAAAAAAAAAAACATAACAACTTCAATAATTTCACCTAAAAAGTAAATTGTAATGGGTAGATTTAAAATTAATGTGTTGTAGGTGATACTCAAAATAAATATTATCTGCAGATTTCAATTTTAAATAATTTTTCAGGTATATAGCAGAATCATAACATCTTATGGTCAAGTAAAATGAGGGATCATTCAAACCACAAAAGAAAGTAAACCACTCTTTAAAATAGGCTACAGCCGGGGGAGTACGTATTCAAGCCAAAACTGTCAGTCCATGTCAACCAACCAGTCCCAACGCAAGTCCTCCCCTTCACAAAGTCATCGGTACCTTTGTTCCATCTTCACTTTCTCCCCTCAAATTTGTGCCCCATTCTCTCTTTCTCTCTCTGCATTTCCATTGGGTTTTTGGAATAGTACAACAATGAGGAAGCCTTGCTGTGACAAACAGGACACCAACAAGGGCGCTTGGACCAAGCAAGAAGACCAAAAGCTTATTGATTACATTCAAACTCATGGCGAAGGTTGTTGGCGCACCCTTCCCAAGGCTGCCGGTAAATTGCTTCATATGGAACGGACTGGAGAGAAACCTATGAACATTTTACTTTTTTTTTGAACATTTTTCTTTTTTTTTTTTTTTTTTTGGGTTCCCTCAATCACGTCTTGTTGTGTTGTTTTATGTGCATTAGGGTTGCATCGTTGTGGTAAAAGTTGCAGACTGAGATGGATAAACTATCTTAGGCCAGACATCAAACACGGCAACTTTGGTCAAGATGAAGAAGACCTCATCATCAAACTCCATGCCCTCCTTGGCAACCGGTACCCTCTCTCTCTCTCTGTGCCCACACATGTTATTTTTCTCAATCAGAAATGCATTTGCAGCATATATGAAATTTCACACACAAAATTCATCTTAGCCAGGCAAATTTTCCACTTTACTTTCTATCAATTTAACTTTTCATCGTATTTTTTCAAAACGGACGTTATGAACTGCTAGGTGGTCATTGATATCCGGAAGATTACCAGGGCGAACAGACAATGAAGTGAAGAACTACTGGAACACTCACCTGAAGCGAAAGCTGATACGTGTGGGTATTGATCCAGATAACCATCGATTGAACCAAACACTTCCTCGCCTACAAAACCAATGCATGTCGACTCTTGTCACTTCGTCTGGGTCGGATGCTGCAAGTTGCCTTGAAGATGACACATCAACATCCTGTGGCTTGAGTCTTGATCTCTCCATTGCCATTCCGTCTCCTTCGCCTGTGCTCGAGGGAGAGAAGTGACAAGATAATGATTAGTTACAAGTGATTGAAGAAATTGACAACAATCGGTCTCCTACTCTTCTTTTATTTAGATTATTAAGTTTCTTGGTAGTTATGAATCGTGCCTGATTTCTCTCCACTTGAATTGGACGTCCAGTCTAGTTTATGTGACATCGCTACTAAAAGGTTGCTTTTCTTTAAAGTTAGGGTGACACTGTCACGAAGCTCTTACCTTCCTGAGGGATTTTTTATTTTTTACTTTTAATGTGTTCGGTTGAATTGAGTACTTTAATGTGAGACTATCTCTAGGATAGCATAGCACACAAATGAGAGAAGAATGATTTGTGCTCAAATGTGAAAGATAAGTGGAGAGTGAATAAACTGGACTTGGATCCAAATTAGAATGCAATTCAGGATTATGGATGGATATAAGAATATGAATTGATAGCTTAATTTGTTTTTTGGTTTGATTAATTTAACATACAATTGTAAATGGGGAAATTAAAAGTAAACGTAATCGTTCACAATCAAACTCTCAATTTTTACTAGGGAAACTCAAATAGAAAAATAATTCAGTTAATCAATTCATTATGAACACTGCTAATTCTCTTTAAAAGGCTCGATTAATAATAATTCGGTGAGTGTTTTGTTAGGATTAATAATGTCAAAATAATTAAAATTTCAATAATCAAAGAAACTCAATGAAATTTCTCAAAATATTGAGAGTAAAAATTACTTTTACACAAATTTACATAAATAGTCCAAATAATTTTTTTTTTCCTTCTATTTTTAATCAAGAAGTTATTTATTTCATCATGAGCAACACTCCTTGCACAAAATGCACACGTCTCACGAGAGGGTGAGGCTCAGTGCATTCTGCGTACAAAAACTAGTGCAAGTAGTACTGCTCTTTCATCAAACGAAACAGACTTTTTACCCTGACTTTTTAATGCAAAAACAAAAAAGCAAAAAAAGAAAAGTTGATAAGAAAGGGTAGATGGCAAGTTTTTTCTTCTAACCTGTGTTTGCCTTTTACCTATCAAATCTTTCGTAGGCTATGTTTAGCATAGATTTTTTTTTTTAGTCATAAAAAAATAAAATAAAATAAAAAATTAATAAGACAAAATGTTATATCTAAATTATTTTTTTTTTTATAAAAGTCAAAAAAATCAAAAAACTCATTCCAAATAAGATTTTTTAGCTCCAGAATAAAATAGTCAAAGTCAAAAAGTCAACCCACATCGCAAACGAATGCTTTGTTGGAAAAAATAATTTTTGGTAACTTTAATTTAATATTAAAGTGTGGTGACTTTAATTAAATATTAAAGTGGGTCCCAACCATCTGTTGTGTTGGGTTCTAATGGGCTAAAAACCATTGAGATTTGAATAAGAAATTGTCAAGAAATTGTCTCATGATGTTAGATTCATGAATCGAATTTTAAAGAGTATTTCAATCATTTTTATTGGCTAAAGGGTGTGAATCCCGTTGGGCATCCAAACTTTTCATCTTTCTGGAAAGAGATTATGGATCCTGGTTAATGGGGCTTTAATGACCAGCCATAAAGGCTGGTGGCTCTTCCTCTCTTCCCTATACATGTATAAATTGAGACCCTTCGTCAAGTCTCAATATAGAAATTTTTGCTTCAATTTTACAAGTCAGTTTGCCAGAAAGTTCCTACTGTGAGAGAGTGTTGCCACTGTTTTTGTTCGCTAAGTTAGACATAAAGTGTTTCTGCCGTAGTTGGTTTTGACCGTCGTGTCCTGGGAGACAGACGCCGGGATTCCTCAAGCACTCGACCCGTGAGACGGCGAAATCTATTTTAAGGAAACTGCTACCGTGCAGGCTTCAGTTTGATTTCTTTACCATTTTATTATTTTGTGTACTTCTGTTAAAATTTGGTTGTAATTATCAGCATATGTTCTTGGTATATAATTTTGATTTCTTCATAAATATATTTATTTAATTTCACAATTTGAACAACAAACTTAAAACAGATTTTTTATATATTTTCTATGAAATTGATCGAATAGATTTATAAAGACAATTAGGTTAGCTTTGTATAATGTTACTAGGAACTGTTGCGGAATTGCTCACTGTTTCAATGATACAAAATATAAATTTGCATGTTTAGAGATTCAAGTAATTTATATGAATAGGCCATTGTTCCATTTTCTGTAGGTCAATTGCCGGTTCATGATTTTGCCTCTTTGCATGCACATTAACTATTTTCATGCCTTCTTGCACTGATTCATCCTTCTGAGTAAATTAATATATTTGTGTTTGCTAGTAAATAGATCCATGTGTGGTTTAAACATACTACATGCTAATTCTATTCTAGTTTTTAATTTGTTACATGCTTATTATTTTCTAGACTAGATTACATAATTTAATGTATTTTGGACTTATAGAGTTTTTATGAATTGTGTACATGATTAATTTGAATTTAATTGGGTGCATTAATCTAAATTATCTAATTGGGTGCATTAATGTGAATTATTTAATTGGGTGCATTAACTTTGAATTTAACTTATTTATTTGGAGTTGTTAGTTTAAATGTTTATTATGAATTAATTTCATTCATAACTCATGAGTATTGAACTTTATTTTAAAGTTTTAATTAAATTGACATTTTAATTCATTAGTTAATTTTATAAATAGTTGGCTAGATGGTTTCAATTATTTATTATATTTATTTTTTGCTTAGATTATTTGTTTATATATTGTTGTTATTTTTTCTGCTAACTTTCTTTACAGGAATACTTATGCGAAAGGGAATGGAAAAACAAACACAAATCCAAATGAATAGTATTTGGGATGTAAAAACAAAAATTTTTGGACTACTAACTTTTGTGTTAAATGGGAATACCTAAGCGTGGAAAGGCTTTTGGACTAAATAGAATCCTTATGGACTGGCTATTTTATTTAAATGTTTGAATCATGTTTTGCTTGAGATTTAGTTGGTTTGTTTATCAATTTCTGGTAGCAAGTTTTATTTGCTTGTTTTGTTAGAAGCATTTTATATGCGTGTAATTGTTATAGCAATTTCTTAAATTGCTTGTAAGTTTGGAACTTGATTTGGTTTTCTGTGATAGAAACCAAAGTTTTAGCTTTGACTAAAGAGTAGTTCTTATTTGTTCAGAAATGACAATTAAGACGAATTTGGTTTCAAACCTTTGGAGTTTGAAGAAGTCAATGGGTTTAATCATTTTATTCCCAAAGTGTTGGAAAACTAAGTTTGGAGAAAGTCTTTGGTTATAATCTGATTATATCCAAAGTGTTTTGGTTTTGAGAAAGGAAACCAAATTTTAGCATTAGCTAAAATATTTTTGATTTTATTCAGAAATAATGGGTTTAGTTCCGGGAGTACCGGTTAACTTTTAATGAGTGGTGTAATTCTGGTAGCAAATTTTATTTGCTTGGGAATCGGTTTGTTATAACCTAGTTTATCCCCTAGAATCTTAATTTTTAAATTGTTTCCTATATACTAGGAGTCAACATGCTCTTGAATGTTTTGTCAAAAGGTTAACTGGGTTTTAAGTGGGACCGATGTGACTCCTCCAGTCTTCCTGGAAACATTCTTGACCATGTTCGATTCTAGTTTAAATGGTGAGACTAGTTTTGAGTTAAATTTCTATCTGAGGGATTTTCTAAGGATTAAGTTTAATTTCTGGAATCACAGAAGTAAAATTCTGTTGTGATGTTTCAGAAATGGCTTCAAAAGGTGACAAACAGAAATGTTGTTCCACCTGACAACCTTAGCCTCGCGAGATTCTTGAAGGAAGATCTTGAGAGATCAAGTATGATTAAAGGAAATCATAAGATTGCATTAAAATATCTCTGAATTGATCAGAGGCAATTAGTATAGTATCCTTGTGTTATTTATAGCATTTATGATTGCTATGTGACTTTGCTTGAAAGCAAAGATGAGACAACCTGTTATAGTGGGTGAATATTTTTTGGATTTTTTAAATTCCAAATATATTCTTAAATTGGTGGCTCCTAGTGAGTATAATATCACTAATCATAGAGATAGAAAACTAGTGGTTCCTAGGAGGTGTTAAACCACTGGCTACATAGTTATGAGATTGTGGTTCCTAGTAGTGAACAGATTACTGATCACATGTTAAGACATCATGATTCCTAGTAGTGGAGAGGCTACTGGTCATATGTCAAAACATGATGATTCCTAGTAATGAAAGAGTCTATTGATCCTATGTCAAGACGTTGTGATTCCTAGTAGTAAAGTGACTACTGATCACAGGTTAAGACATTGTGATTTTTAGTAGTAGAAAGTCTACTGATCACATGCTGAGAAATTAGTGATTCCTAGTGATAAGACTACTGGTCATGTTATGAAGTTCCGAATAGTAGACTAGTGAACACTGGATTTGTGTTTCTTAATAGTAAGACTATTGGCTTCAGAGTGATAGATCGAACCTAATATATTTGGGTGCCTAATTCGGTTGATGACATTCTGGGAATGTATTTACTGTGATATGATTTTGAGAGTTTCATAATCATTGTGACACAAGGATTTGTTTAAGACTTTGTATAAATTCTATAAAGAAGACTTAATTATCTGACTCCGAAATTGATGAGGATAGTAGAAAGAAAGGAGGGAGTACCTCCTCAGTGAAGGCAAATGTCATTCAGCATGACAAATCTTCTGGGATGAGGAAGAAGCCTCCCGTGAACAAGGGCACTTAGCTGGGGCCAAAGGGTGGTGTTGCAAAGAAGCTGGCATACAAGCCGCGGGAACCTGGTTATCGGTTCTTTGGGAAGTGCTACAACTGTGGTAGCAAGAGGCTTTTAGTTTTACTAGGACTACACACCACATCTGCTCCGAGAATGAGCTGTTTACAACTTTCGAACTGGTTACAAATGGTAAGAAGTTGTTTATGGGAAACTCTACTACCTCATTTGTTGAGGGAAAGGTGGTCCCGAAGGTAACCTCCGGAAAAGAGCTAACCTTGAACGAAGTTCTGTATGTTCCGGACATTTGTAAGAATCTTGTCTCTAGGTCTCTTCTCAGTAAACATGTTTTGCCATGGTTTTTGAGTCTGACAAGGTCGTTCTGACGAAACACAAGTGTGAAACTTGTGTTGAAGTGAAGTGGACAAAATCCCGTATGAGTTATGGAAAGACGTTAAGCTTTCTTATAAATTCTTACGAATGTGGGGGTGTCTTGTAATAGTGGCGATTCCTACACTCTAACGGGTTAGGATAGGCCCGAAATCTGTGGATTGTATATTCATTAGTTATGCACATAATAGTAGTGCATATCGGTTTCTTGTACATCAGTCTGAAATTCCAGACATACACAGGAATACCATCATGGAGTCAAGGAATGCATGTTTCTTTGAAGACATTTTTCCTTGCCGAACCCATGAAGGGGTTCCAAGGTCTTTGGAGCAATTTGATGAGCTTGTTAGTGATGATCATGTTGATGATC